AAATTAATGTAATTTTTTTAAGATAAATGGGATCAGCCTTAGAACCTTTACCTGTGTGATTTATTAGTTGTTTCTTATTTAAAACCAGGAATTTGTCTTGCAGGAACCATTTTACAATTGCTTATGTGATTCAGACTTCTCTTTCAGTTCATTCAGTGTCTCACTCCAGTAACATCATTCCCTCTCTGATAAGTTGTGAAGATTTTTTTTTTCTTTTTGTATCAACAGACACATAGAGATAACTTGCCTACGTGTATTCTATTATCAGCTGTAGAGAGCTTACTCAACAAAATCAGAGGTGTCAAAGCTTCAACAACTGAATTACATATGAGAGATTTCATAGAAGGCAGTATTCACTTATTCGAATATTTTTCTTCTGGAGAAGTAAAAGTTTACTTTTACTAAGTCTGATGCTAGCTTTACCACTGTCAGAATAATCTCAATTAATTTCTTGATGTGTACATCAAACTTTGAATCCAGAAGACAATACGACTTTTAAAAGTCTCTCTTTTGGGGTTTATTTTATGACCAGCACATCTGGTCAGCCACTGTCCAAGACAATTACAGAGAAATGGTTGTCTTTGTGCACTTCTCATTGTTATTCACCGGCAAGATAGTCATCAGAGGGTCACATTAAAGTTCATTCAATCAAAGCTGTGGCAGTAGCAATAGTCCGCCCCAGGTCAGTTCTGTCTCTTGAGATTTGCAGGGCACTACCTGAAGTTATTTGCGTAATTTTATGTAGCATTGGTGCCTTGATACTGTGTAACAAAGATTTCAAAGGCAACAAATCTGTATCTAGTGTTCTACTCCGACCATAATCCAATTGCTTTCCCCTTACTATGTTATTGTAGCCATTTGCATGTATCCTCTGGTATCTTCTAAGTTAATTTTCACTTAGCGGTAAGCTATATATAATGTGTATTGTTATTTTTTATGTTAGTCGTTATAATTAGGTTTTGTGTTTCTCTGTTCACGTGTGTGTTTATGTATTTGTAAGCATAATGGGAAACTGCCTTTTATTTTTGAGATAATCTTTAAAAGTACTCCCTTGTGCTGCAATAAATGTTGAAGTTGGGTTGAGATAAATCACAGCCAATCTGCTTTTCTTCATTGAGAGCAAAGGAACCCTAGGTAACCCATATCTATATGTAAATTGGTTAGTTTGGATTAATCTCAACTATGTCTTGGCTTTTTTGTCTATACATATGTATAGTTGTGCTTACATATATGTGTGCATACATGTGCGCACAAACAGTGATAGATAACTGTATATTAAGGCCAAACTAATTATGTTACTTCCATTCCAGTATCATTTGCAGAGATTTTTACAAGGCTCTTGTACCAAAACACTCATACATTAGAAATTAAGACTAAGTTTTATGATGTACACTCCTGGATATTCTGGTACCCAAGAGTTATTTTTTGGCCTTGGGGGGTGGGGGGAGGGGAGGGAACAAAAGGAATGATAATTCACAGCCATGAAGAATGTTCTGATTAGGAATACGTTAAGTATATCTATTGAAAATTATTCCTCTCAAAACCAAATTTCTAAACTGAAGCTATGTTGTAGTACCAAACAAATAGTACAAATAATGAGACTATAATGTAGATGTAATTTCTGGAGTATTTCTACTTTGATGATTCTACATAGACTGTGAAACATAATTTCTTGGAAGGGGTGTTATTTTATTTAAAATACTAGAAATTGAAATGTATGTAACACAAACAGGTTCAATAATAATAATTTTATATATTGGGATGGGAATTATTAAAGAGAAGTATCAAGTACCCCTTTATATAGGAAAAACTCAGAAAATAGGAAAGCAAAATAATAAAAAAAATTTAAAGTAACAAAAAAGTATTCTTTAATATTGAAGAAGAGGATTTGTAAATCAAAAGACAAATCCACAGAATATTCAAGAATGCTTTATTTCCAAAAATTTTAAGCAGGGAAGATTCAGCCAATGTTCTCCAAAATTGTCAGGATAGGTAAAAATGGAGGAGAAACAAATACTAGATAAACCTGTTGAAGACTGCAGCCATGCTCAGGTAGTAACAGGATTCTTTCAAAAGACAGAACAAGGTTCTTTCTCTGTTGTGCAGTGCACTGATGAGCTTTATCAAGATGTTCTGAAGTCAAAGAACTTAATAATGATAACAGACAGAATGAGAGATTTATATTAATTCCTCTATACAGCATACATAATTTGTCATTTTGAATTTTGAGACAGAACATGATAGAGAGGAGCCACTCTTCTGTGTGGCTTAGTGAGGCAAAGTACTTTTCTGAGTAATTGTTGCTGTTCCAAACAATGTGAGTGACATGAATAGACGATAGAATTTAGGATTTAGAAATTAGTCCTTTTTGAAAGATGGATTTTCCCCAATTTTTCCTTCAGATAACAAAAGAAGATAACTTCACTGCTTTTTTTGATCAAAGTGTTTTTATATATTATTGTAGTTTTAAAACACTTGGAAAAGATCTGGGCTTTGATTGAGATCTTACCTGTATTAAAATTGGGGGAGTGTGGGGGGATGAGGGGGGAGTGGAGCGGTTTCCCAGTTGGTTTCTGTGTGGTGCTCCATACCCAGGAGTAAGAGGGTGTGTTGTTTTTTTTTCTTTCTTTTCCCTCTTTTCTCTTTTGAGCAAAGCTTACAGATTGCAGAAGTCCCAATAGCAAAGCTGTTCTGTTCACACATCTAGTTTAACCAAACAGTCTCTCACCTGCTGCAAGACATGTGGTTCTTAACTCCTTCTTTACCCAACTACTTGAACATTCCTTTAAGAACTGCTTATTTGGCTTGCATTAATTTAACAGACATAAGCACAATAAGTAGCCAACCAAAGCTGCAATGGAATTTTGCCTAATTATTCCCATTCACATCTGACAGGAGCAGAGATTGGAAAGAAAAATTATTTAGTTTATCCAGCCAGAAACTTAGATGTGAAACAATTAGGTTCATGCCGGACTTTATTACCTCGTAGATTCTTCAGCAGTGTGTAGGTTTTTACTTCACACACCCCTTAGGGAGAAGCAGTGTGATAAGAGTTGTGAGATAAGTTTTAAATCTCTTTTAAATTAATACAGTTTTGATATGATCTGAAGAGGCGTTTTGTAGAATTTGTTTGTTTGTTTGTTTTTTTAAGGTGCTTTCCTGATAAAAATAATTCTAATTCCACAGAAACTCTCATTCTGTAATTTTAAATTGTCACTAACACATATATAATTTTATAATGTTGCTTAGACTTGGGATCATTGGTGTTTTTATAAATTTTAGGGATAGTGTGGGTTCATTTAGCTGTCTGAGATGATACATTAGAAACTAAATGTGTTTTTTATCTTCATATCATAAAGAGAAACTGTAACTTTGAATCTCCCCTGCTTTCCACACTTATTCTGAGAGCAATACCTTGAACTGTCTTTTTCAGGGCAAGTTGTAAAATTTCCATTTGTCCCTAATTTCTAAGATTGATAAAGTACTAAAAAAATAAATACACATGAAAACTCAAAGCTTTTCTTGTTTGTCTTACTTTGGACATTTAAAGTTGTATGAATTAATGGATTGTGGTTGCAGAGTGTTTTATTTGTTTCTGTATCTCCATTACCACTGTTGCTACCTTAGACATGTTTTGAAAGTGCTCCTTTCTTGGGGTCTGTCACAAGTCAGTTGAAGCACATGATTGGGAAAAGCCAACATGGATTTAGCAGGGGTAAATCATGCTTGACAAACCTGATCTCCTTCTATGACAAAGCAACCTGCTCAGTTGATGCAGAGCGAGTGATGGACGTCATTCACCTGGATTTGTCCAAAGCTTTTGATACAGTTCCCCACAGCCTCCTCCTGGAAAAACTGACTCTTTACAGCACTGAGAATTGGTCTGGGCAGTGGGTGGGGAACTGGCTGACAGATGGTACCCAGAGGGTGATAGTAAATAGTTCTTCCTCAAACTGGCAACTGGTCACAAGTGCAGCCCCCCAGGGATCAATATTGGGCCCAAAGCTGATTAACATCTTCATAAGTGACCTGGATGTTGGGATCAAGAGCACCCTGATGAAGTTTGCTGATGACACCAAGAGGAGTGGACAGGTTGACACTCCAGAAGGGAGAGCCACCCTCCAGGATGACCTGGATAGACTGGAGGAGTGGGCTGGCAGGAGCCTTACGAATTTTGACAGAGAGAAGTGTAAGGTCTTGTACCTAGGAGTGCAGTTCAGACTGGGATCCACCTGCTGGAGAGCAGCCCTGTGGAAAGGGACCTGGAGGTCTTGGTGGATAACAGGCTCGATATGAGTGAGCAGTGTGCTGCAGTGGCAAAGAAGGACAATAGGATGCTGGGCTGCATGAACAACAGTGTCACCAGCAGAGACAAAGAAGTCATCATCCCACTCTACTTGGCACTTGTCAGACCACACCTGGAGTGTTGTGTTCAGTTTTGGTTTCTGTTCTACAAAATCCAGACAGGCTGGAGAAGGTCCAGAGAAGGGCCACAAGGATGATCTGAAGACTGGAGGAGAGAACCTACCATATGAGGAGAGGCTGAGAAAACTATAGTATTACCTAGAAAGGTTGGAGAAGATGATTCTTGAGGTCCATTCCAACCTGACATTCTATGATTCTTTTTCAGGTCTCAGTGACTCAGACAAATGGTTCTCCAACAGTGACGGTGTGCTTTTTCAGCTCACTCTAGATGCTCTCTTTTGAATAGCAAATGTCTTATCCAAGTTTTATGGGTCTTATTGAACTGAAATTTGATTTTGCATACAGAAGTGAGAGCAATTTGTTGTGATTTTGCTAAAATAAGTTTTTAATTCTGCCTAATTTGTAAGGTTATTATTTCCCTTAACTTTCTTTGAGTGGGTGTGTAGGAGAATTTGGTGGTATTTGAGTGGTGAAAATATAAATATCTCCTCATTATATGGTTATCATTGTAATATGCAAGGTTTCTGAAAGCTGATGATAATCTAACATTTTTATTGTAATTTTTGTTTTTAAAGGACACTATGAGGAGATGTATGATAACCAGCTTAACTTGGCCTACTGTTTTAATGAACCTGAGGACAAATGGTTACGTAATTACTTTTATAAGCAATGCTTCAACACTGCTCAACTAGTTAAAATTGATGGTGGGAAAAGACTGGCACAAGCACATGCAAATATGGGCGTCATCAATGAGGAAAAAGGTAAGTCAGTGGTATCATAAACCTACAGTGTATCAGCACTGAGTCAGTCACATTAAGCAATTAATGTTTCATCACAGGGCACAGCATTTTGAAGTAAAATTGTTTAGCAACCATAATTTAGAATAAGTTTTACAACTGTTGTTATTTTTAATTTTCGTAGTGGCAAATAGGAACACAAAAAAGTCTGTAATTATTCACAGACCTGTTTCCTCTGTTGACATTCCAGAAACAGTTGAAAGTACTCTCATAAAAAACAAAGCATAAGTTTGAAGGAGACATTTGTTTAGCACAAAGCTTCTTTGGGTTTGACCTTATTTCCTTTTGCTTGCTTTTGACAAGACACTTGTAGTGCTGCCTCAGGCTACAGGTGTTTGAGTAGATAACTTCTGTAGTTACACAAACTGAGTTGATTTAGAAGAGATGTGAACACATAACTCAGTTTAATTATATCCAATTTACACTTGGGTAAAACAGCCTATGTTTTTCTGTTCTTATTAAAAGAAAATGGCACCCTGATTGTTTGACTGTTACTTCCACATTGGTATTTACTTCAGATTTATACTTCACCACAAGCTCCATTTATTGTATCTGTATCCTCAAACTTGGGAGTCTCTGAAATTAGAAAAGATATTAATAGAAGTAACTAGAATCATATAACAGCCCAGGCTAGAAAAGCATTTTTCTATCCTGTGATTGAGATTCTTAATGAAAATACTAAGTAGTAAACTGGACATAAGACAGGCATCTGTGGAACCTCACCAAATACTTTTTTCCATACTGACAGTGAACTACTAATAATCAACATTTATATAGGATTCTGTAACCAGTTTGCACTCTCCTAACAATAGTTGCAGGTGAACTATGCTTCCCTAATGCTTTACAAAATGTTATATGGCAGTGAGAGAGACTTTACTAACCTAAATAGAAGAAAGGTTTGATAAAAGTTGCTCTTGAAATATTGGCATTGGCTATAATATTTTCATGTTCATTCTAAATGGCTGGGAATAATCTATTTGACTCTTTATTTGTTCCAGTATTATTCCAAGAATTAAAGTTAAATAAAATTCAGTTTCCCAGGAGGTAAGATACCACTTGCTTAAAGCCCAGCCAGTCACAACCAAGCCATTTTCATTTTGAGTGAAAAATTGTTAATTAGATTATTTGCCTGATACGCAATAGAATAAAATTGTTTAAGTTGGTGGATTTTTTGCAACCATTTCACTTGGTCCTTCAGTTACTAAAAAATAAAATTATAAGAAGGTGTATAAAAGCAAACTCTCTGTATTTGTAGCTTCGAAGGCTCATGCTGAGTGTGACTCACTGCTGTTATTGAACCGTTGCCTAAAAAAAAAATTAACATTTCCTACCTTTATGACGTGTTAAGCAAAACATGTTGAATGCTTAAATATCTCTAGCTCATCACAGAAGCACTTCAGTAAAGTCAAGAAATACAGTTTGAGATGCTCAGAGAAGGGGGAATTTCGTTTTTCTGCTGTAAAATATTAGAAACTTCAGAAGATGGGTTTCTTATTAACAACAGTAAGGAGAGAGAAATCAAGGTGCGTTTTCACTGCACAGAGTAAAGCTCCACTGAATCCGTAGGGCCTGGCTTTTGCAAATATTTTATCTCCACAGAGAGACGTGAAAAATGAAGCAGCTGAGAGAGTAAGTGTAGGATTTGCTTTGAAGACCACTGAGAAAAAGACAGCAGATGTATTCCATGCAGTTTTTATTTTCAGTGGGTGAAAAATTTAATCACAAGTTCTGATTGCAGAGAAAAGTATAAGAGCAGGTGCTGAGCTAGTATTGCATAAAATCACATGAGTATTAATGGTGTCATAAGTAAATTCTAAACATGTTGGTTTTGATATTAGAACAGATAGATACCGCTTGTAAATCAAATGGTCTTTTTTGGTTCAGTTTTTTATAATGCTTTAATCTAATTTGTTTGTGAAATGAGTTAGTCATATGCCCACTCCTATGAGGGTATATACCTATATACAAGAACAGATACATGTGTATAGACATGTATGTGTGTATTAATATATACATACAGGAATGTGTATCTATATATACACATAAAAGAATGTATGTGTACCTAAATAAATACAGGAATGTATGTAGATGTTCGAATAATACCTAACATTTCCATGATACTTTCATCTGATCAAAATAATTGTATGCATTTTAACTGCATTGATTAATAGTGCAGCCAGGAAGAATTTACAAGAATGGGGAGTGGGTCTTAAAGATGTTCACATGTGTATCCTTTCAGATGTAAATATCTTGTACCAGTTCTTCTCAGTTCTCTCAGCCAATAGTGTATTTTTTGCTGCTCATGCACGGATGCTGTCTATATATGCTTAGGGCTGATTGCTAGGGAGCATAAAGTTAAACATGTACTTGTAAAGATTGTTATTTGCTTTGGAAGCAAATCAATAAATTCGCTGGGTAATTTTTGTGTAATCAAATTTGAAGTTCTTTGGCTTTCAGCCTGGTCCCTGTCCTAAAGGCTGGATATAATCTGATGTTCATTAATCTTCAAAGCTAAATATTTGAGGTGTTGGCAGTGTAGACTTCAGTCATGCTATTTGGATGCAGGCGATGAGTGCTTGTCAGTACATAAGAGAAAGAAAACAGTAATAAGTGAGTATCCTCCTATAGACACAAGTGGAACATGCTGCTTGGAGCAAATGTGATTTTAGTCACAACTCCTTGCAGAATGCGATTTTAACTCTTATTTTAAAAATTCTGCTTGTAAAATGAGGACTCTGTTTACAAGTTACCCAAATGAGATGCTACTCATTGATTATTGTAGGAGTCCTCAGGTTATGATCCTGGAGGTACTCCATAGTTTGTCTCTCCTTACAGGGCTGAGAATAAATTGTTTCATTAGTTTGGCTACTAGTAATCTTCTCATAGCTATTTAACATGACAGTGTCACTTTGAACACATTGAAAGAGTCCTCATATTTTTCTGTTTTTCTCACATTAAATCCAGCATTACTTGTCATCCATGTTAACACCAGTCTTTGGGACAGTATCTCTGTCAAGAAAAATTAATTTTAAAAGATAATTTTACTTCAAAAAGCACATTCAAAGCAAAGGAATAATCTGTCATTGTAAATGTGTGCATTTTTCTGCATATGAGAGAGTAAGAAGATTATTTCAGTCTGTGACAGTTTTATTATACTAGTGTAAATTCTTCTACAGGTAATTGTGAGCTTCAGGTTTACGCTGTTGTAGCTGGCAGAAGAAACACAGTCTGAATGTACTGATAAACACCATGGCTAGTGCTAGTTTGCATTGGTTCTAACACTGCTAGTTCCTGACATGATATTTGAGTGTTTTATGTTTCCTCTTGTCACAGTTTGACTCAGGTCCAACAACAATGCTCTTGATCCCCTCCCCCTCCCATCCAGGTAGGAAAGGAGAGAGAGAACGAGGGAGAGACTTTAGGGGACTGAAAACTAAACTACACAGCTTTAATTAAACACTAATGATAAAAGAAAATATATACAATTATATACAAACGTGTTTAGGAGTGTAAAAAACCTTTATTGCCTCCTCCCACCCCCAGCAATTCCCACAGCATCTCCTGAGCTGTGAACAGTCCCAAAAAGTCCCAGAGCTGCTGGAGAAAGTGGAGAGTGATGAGGGTCAGGAAAGCTTGAGCCTAAGGGTCGAGGGTGATGGATGGAGTCCTCCCTGGACACCAGCCATGGACGGAAGAGAAGGGAAGAAGAAGCAGGAAGGAATTTGTCTTCTGTGATCTCTGACCTTCCTCTGAGCTTATGCAGATATATGGAATGGAATATCTCTGGTCAGTTTTGCTGTCTGTCTAACTCAGCCTCCTACAGGGGGTCATAGACCTCCCCGTAGTGTCTGAGCTGGCAGAGTGAAGGTGTGACCTGGAAGACCTAGCAGTTAGAAAAACATTCCAGCTGTTATCAGCCCAAGCTGGGACACTTTGCTACTAGTTAAAAGAAAGCTTATTGAAGGAAAAAAACATCAGTAAAAGGAAAAATAGCTTCATCCTGGCTCAAGCCAGGACACATATCAATGGCTAAAATCTGTCATGCATTAAGTGATATAGACATTAAATATATGCATCCCAGACTTTCAGGTAACTCACATCAGTTGTAAAATCAGTCCAGGGGAAACAAGGAATTTGTGTGAGTAGGAGCTGTTTAAGTACGTTGTAACTAAAGTAGATGTATTTATGTATTTTTCAAAAGCATAATACAAACATATCTGAAATTGTACTTGTTATAAAAGCAGCCATCAAAATCATTGCAAGTAATACAGATATTTTAATAAATGTGTGTATATGTACCTACATGTATATACACATGCACATCTATACACAGACATATATATGCATATGTATGTACACACACATTCAAATACAGCCAGTGCTTTAAAGCCAGTACTTCAAATAACAATATTTCAATCTTAATGTCAAGCAATACAGCATTTGTTAGCGAAGCTTGAGGATGAGTAATTAACATATCTGGTGGTGTTTTTCTAATACAGATGCATGACTGTTCTTTCCTTAAGGTACCTCCTTACAAAAAGACAGGCTATTGGTACACTGTGTGGGTGACAGTGGAGCAGGGAGAATGACTTTGAGAACTGTGGAAGAAGCACTGAAAATATCATGACTACAATCTTATATATATGTATAAATATCCTCACACCCTCAAATTATCTCAGCATTTACCTTTCAGGCTTTACCAGTAAACATAGACATGCACAGGCTGTGGTTGCTTTCCTGCATGAGTAAATTAAGCAGTGCACAGGGATGTCTATGAGCTCTGGAGCACAGACTAGGACTAAAATGGTGTTACTAGTCCTGCACATGCTTTTAGCTTGTGCTAACTTGGACTTTCCTGCCCTGCAATTATTAATGAGCACAGTTTGAAAATCAGGAGTGTTGCAGGGACTTTTTCTAACAGGCAGGTTGCAAGCAGCTGAGCTGTTTTGAGGTCTCAGAAAGGT